TTTCTCTTTTTCTAAATAATGCTCGTTATCATTGGTAGGCTCGCGTTTATCTAGCAAGATAAACGTAGCGCCCTGTCTAGACAAAATTCTATCCTTTGGGGATGAAACTGGAGTCACCCCTCCAGGGCGCAGGCCTGAGTGATGGAATATGATGGCTGTGTGCTGTCCCGTCTACATGCCACTCCTCGGCTTTTCGGTTTGAATTTACTTCAATAGCTTTTACCATGTTTGGATATAACCGCAACGCAACGGAGGTTTAACATCAGGGTTTTCCTTCCCAGAGATGGACTGCCTTCATGGACTGTCAAACTCCATCTAACCGAAGCAGCTGGTTATGAGTCGCCAGTCGTCCGCCTTGGCTCCTTGTCCGGCTTGGCGCTGGACTCATTTGTCAGAGATTATAAGAGGCGCAAGCTACAGAAGCATTTTATAGACAATGGAAGCTTCTCCACGGTATCAGCCCCGGCTAAAACAACCTTTGGAACATGTATAATGTAAACATTATATACATTGCGTATTTTAAAAGCTCGTCCAAAATTAACGATTTTTTTAATATGTAAAATATTAGGTAATAAAAAAACACGAGAAAGCAAGACAAATGAGAAAAAACACATAAATAAACGAACACGCTCTTGAAAATATATTTCGATCGAACACTGTTGAGTGAAAAGCTAATTCTATAAACAACAGGCACCTGCGTTAATGCAAAGCTCTTCAGTAAAATGAATTGGAGCACTCCGGCTGATTGGCATTTGTAAAAACAATACGACAAATTTAGTTGTTTCTCTCTGTCAAATGAAGATAGCTCTGAGGCAGAAACTCTGACTGGTCGTTTGGGTTTCGATCCGGGCTTGAAGTATTCGGGTGTCTAGTCGCACTGAAGAGCTGTGATACAACGAATCTGTACTGTCTGCGAATGACAGAATTTCTAGATATAAATCTTTTTGATTCAATTTTAGTTTGTTTAACTCAGTGACCTTTATGCAGAGGCAAAAAAAATTCAGCCTTTGCTGCAAATGTTTCTATTGGCTAGAAAAGTGTGTTTCTATTGGCTAGAAAAGTGTGTTTCTATTGGCTAGAAAATGTAAATAATCTAAATTCAGAATTTATTCCGCTGTTGGTAATTTTTTTTTCCAAATGTTTTTCAGATGAAATTTGACATTATACTATCACACAATTTCGTTGTACAAGCTACCCTACCCATAAAATAAGAACAATATATTTTCAATTTGTCGTTTCTTATACTTTTTGTCCGAATAAAAAAAGTTCGGAATCGTTTTATTTCCTGCCTCACAATGATTGCTCTTCCTGATGGCAGAAAAATGGCTCATCATTAAATATTTTCGATCTGCACAACTTATATCACGACATTCATTTCAGCCATTTTTTTTTTTACTCTTTTGCGTCTGATTTTAAGATGGCGTTCGAGTATATTGCTTCCTTATTTCAAACGTTTTTCCTCTTTTTTGTTTTCATTATTGTCTTCTTCTTTTTTCTTCTTTTTATTCTTCTTCTTCTCTACATCTTTTCTTGTTCTTCTTCTTGTTCTTCTTGTTCTTCTGTGCTTTCTTCTTCCATGATCTTCTTCTTCCTCTTGTTTTGATTCTTCTTCTTCTTCTTCTTCTTCTTCTTCTTCTTCTTCTTCTTTCTCGTCTTCGTTTTCTTATTGGTCTTCTTCCCGCCTACTCTTTCTTGTTCGTATTTTTATTCCTCTTCTTTGCCTTCTTCTCCTTCATCTTTGACTTTTTCTTCTTCTTACCTTCTCTTCGTTGTTGTTCTTCTTCTTCATCATCTTCTTTTTCTCTTCCTTCATTTTATTTCTCTTCTTCTTTTTCTTCTTTTTCTCCTTTTTCTTCTTCTCTGCGTCGTCGTCTTCTTCTACCTCATCTTTGATTTCTTCTTCTTCTTCTCTACATCCTCTTTTGTCCTTGTTCTACTTCTGTGTCTTCTTTCCTGTCCTTCTTCTTCCTCCTGTTTGCTTGTTCTTATTTCTCTTTTTCTTCTTCTTCGCCTTCTTCTTTTTCTTTGTTTTCTTCCTCCTCTTTCTTTTCCTTGTTTTTTTATTCCTCCTCCTCCTCCTCCTGTTTCTTTTTCTTCTTCTTTTTCTTCTTCTTCATATTCTTCGTCTTTTCTCTACCTTAATTTTCTTCTTCCTCTATTTCTTCTTCTTCGTATTCTTCATCTTCTCTCTACCTTCATTTTCTTCTTCTTTTTCTTTTTCTTCTTCTTCGTATTCTTCGTCTTCTCTCTACCTTCATTTTCTTCTTTTTCTTCTTCTTTTTCTTATTCTTTGTATTCTTCTTCTACTACTACTACTCTTCCTCTTTCATCTCATTTTCTTACTCCTACTACTTCATCTGTTGCTATTTGAATAAGAAAACGTTTTTGGGGGGATTCTGTTGAAAATTTTGACAATTTCAATTTAAATGAATTCAAAAAACACACGCACGCACTCACGCACACACACAGACACACACACACTTATATATATATATATATATAAATGTGTGTGTGTGTGTGTGTGTAACAAAGTCCAGGAATGGAGGTAAAACCTATTCTTCAACAAACTAATAACTTAATTCGGTTTTGAATAACTTATAATTGCATTAAGTAAACAAGCACGAAGGAAAGTTGTCAATTTATAGCAGGGGGTCTCTCATTTGATATACTCGGATATATTTCTTAAGTCCAATTGATATATATATATATATATATATAAATAAAAAATGTCTTATATATATATATATATATATATATATACAGTGTAACCCGAATATAAGAGAGTTGTCTGGACCGGAGAAGAAGTCACTTATATCCGGGTTTCTCTTATAGCCGGGTTTGGTCTATTTTGTTTAGGTAAGTATGGGAACACTTTGGGACAATAGGAAAACTCTCTTATATCCGGGTTTCTCTTATATCCGGGTTTGGTCTATTTTGTTTACAATAACACAGGCTCTAATTTGGGACCAGAGAAAATCTCTCTTATATCCGGGTTTCTCTTATATCCGGGTCTCTTACATCCGGGTTAAACTGTATAAGACATTTTTTATGTTCTTTACTTAAATATTTGTATCTATAAAAAGAACATATTAACATAAAAATGTCTTAAATAATTGTCGGACTTTGTCCATTTCATAATATACATATATGTATATATGTGTGTGTGTGTGTGAGAGAGAGAGAGAGAGAGAGAGAGAGAAAATGTGGTGTGGATGTCATTGTCGTTGTATGAACATTTTTTGAATAGGTGATAATATAGTGTATTGTATCGAAGCAGGTGATATGCTTTGAAACTAATACGTTTTCTTAGATGGTAAACGAGACACGTCTTGTCACTACGGCATTCTTTGGTTGACGAAAGAAAGAAAGAAAGAAAAGAAAGAAAGAAAGAAAGAAAGGTTAAGTGTTCTTCCCTTTTATACTACTTTATGCGTCAGTCAATGACGAAATGGGGAAAAAAAAATCTATGCAACGCGTTTGCGTTTCAGTTGAAGAAATCCCTGACGCAAACCAAGATCGATCCTGTGACCTGTTAAACCGTTGCTGTAAATCGGCCTTCCTTGCTTAGCACCAACCGAGGTGGAACCGATAATTTCGATTCCGACTGTCAACATAAATAGGATCTAAGACATATTACCAGGAGGATCCGACTCACCCAACCACACTACTCTGTGACACCTGTTCACGACTCTACAGGAGTAAGCTGAATTTTCCCTGCCATCTCCGTCATCGCCATCTCCGTCACCGCCATCTCCGTCACCGCCATCTTCATCACTAACATCTCCGTCACCGCCATCTTTGTCACCGCCATCTCCATCACCGCCATCTTCGTCACTAACATCTTCGTCACTAACATCTCCGTCACCGCCATCTCCGTCACCACCATCTTCGTCACTAACATCTCCGTCACTGCCATCTTCGTTACCGCCAGCTTTGTCACTAACATCTCCGTCACCGCCATCTCCGTCACGCCATCTCCATCACCGCCATCTCCATCACCGCCAGCTTTGTCACTAACATCTCCGTCACCGCCATCTCCATCACCGCCATCTCCGTCACCGCCATCTCCGTCACTAGCAACTCCGTCACCGCCATCTTCGTCACCACCATCTCCGTCACCGCCATCTTCGTCACTAACATCTCCGTCACTAACATCTCCGTCACCGCCGTCTCCATCACCGCCATCTCCGTCACCGCCATCTCCATCACCGCCATCTCCGTCACCGCCATCTTCGTCCCCGCCATCTCCGTCACCGCCATCTTCGTCACTAACATCTCCGTCACCGTCATCTTCGTCACCGCCATCCCCGTCACCGCCATCTCCTCCACCGCCATCTTCGTCACTAACATCTCCGTCACCGTCTTCTTCGTCACCGCCATCTCCGTCACCGCCATCTCCGTCACCGCCCCCGGAGGGGAGAAAGTGAATGAGGAGAAAGGTTGATGATCCAGATGCTTGGATATGGGCGGGTGGTGACGAAGACGATTTTGTCTAAATAGTGATTGTCATTTTCTTCAAAAATATATTGTTGGTATTTTTTTATAGAAGTGTATAGGGGGGGGTACTTTACTATAATAAACGTCTTGGTTTGCGTTTGGGGTTTCAGTATTTTACAATGGTTATGACCCTAAGAAGTGCTACCACCCCGGGTCAGAGTGTTATATTGATTGTCATTTTTTTTATCTAGATGTATTGGTGGTCATTTTGCGCGCTCGCTCTCTCTCTCTCTCTCTCTCTCTCTCTCTCTCTCTCTCTCTCTCTCTCTCTTCGTTTTTTTTTTGTTTTTGTTCTTTTTCTCTATCACGCTTAGGATGCGAATGGTAAAGAATGTTGTCGATTCTCCCCCCTCAATTTAAATCTTGCCCATGTCTCTCTCTCGCCCCCCTCTCTCTCTCTCTCTCTCTCTTCTACTCTCTCTCTATATACACATACACACACACACACACGCATATATATATCTATATATATATATATATATATTCTTCTCTATCTTGAAGATCAAAAAATATAATAATCGGTTTGTGCTATGTTAGGTGAATATGACAGACTGGGATAGAACAGACATTGTTCCAAAATTTTTTAATGCATCATTGCTTTGTGCCAACTCCACTATCTTTCCAAAATGAGCAATGGTGAGAGGAAAAAGATCATTCAGGCCTTCAGTAATGGTACCGACATTCATAATGCAAGCTTGGGATGTTATGAAACAGAAGAACATCATTTATATTGATGAGTGCAGGACACTTTATACCAAATCTTTATGGACACCTTGCACCTGCCCGACTTACAAATGTGCATTTAGCGTTTCATCGCGTTTAAAGAACTCTAAATGAATAACACCCCCAGGGATCCCACTACGCGCACGACATTTCTACCATGGACCTCAGCTTTTGGGATTGTTTATTGAGATTTTCTCTGCTTTTCTCTACATTGAACATTGCAGTATGCGACCCTTTTTTCATCACTTGTTATGTACCGGGTGTAACAGCAAAATTGTCCAAATCATGTAACAGCATAATTGTCCACCCCATAAAATGTTTAATATCTGAAAAGAAATACTAAACCAATTGAGTTTCTTTTTTCCAGGTATTCAGGTAAGACGTTTAACCATCTTGACATAATTTGTCGTAAGAATCAGCTTAAAAGAGAAGAGTTTAATATCGTTTTGTTCCAACTCCACTATCTTTCCAAAATGAGCAATGGTGAGAGGAAAAAGATCATTCGGGCCTTCAGTAATGGTACCGACATTCATAATCTGTCTTCCATCTTCTAAATACATTCAAGAACCATCCAGAGGACGATGAATAAGTTTTAAAAAGGGCGAGCAGTAGATAGGAAAACTGGATCAGATTTAGAGCTAAATACATTCTTATTGTTCAAACTAGAGTCCAATAGTGTTATGAAAACCTTCGGAGAATTCCCGTAAGATATATTTAATCATTTCTAAGATACAACGGTTCGAAGCTTAATGTAGCAATTGAACAATTTTGCTGTTACACAATTTAGACAATTTTTCTGTTAAACGCGTTATATATATATTATATTTGAACTTTATTTCAATTCTTCATGAGCTTCCGATCCTTAGCTATGATTAATTAATGATGAACATGTCATTTTCGTTTATGTGTTAAGCTTCGAAAATAATTATATATTCTTATTGCTGTCTTTGCTCGGGAGTAAGTATTTTCTCTCAAGTCCCGGTCGATAAGAATGAATACATAAGTCTGAATAAAATGGGCACCTCGAGGTGGTGTAATGGTTAGCGAGCTTGTCTCGCTAGAACAATTGTGACTGAGTAGTGAGTTCAATCCTCACTGGGTGCCCCTTACTTTCGGCCTTGTTACCACATCCATGCTACACTTGGAAAATCGAGGGCACCTCAGCGTTGTGTAATGGCTTGCAAGCTTGTCTATAACTAGATCAGTTACGACTGAAAAGTGAGTTCGATCCTCACTACGTGCTCCATACTTTCGGCCTTGTGCATCACCTAAGCTACGCTTAGAAAATAACCATAAGTCTGGATAAAAGGATACGATTTGCATAGGCACAAATATTGTTTACATATCTTGCAATCAGGCGGAAGCCATGTCGAGAAGCGATCGCTCTTGGCTCGGCGCATGGGAGAGCAAGTCTGGAGGCCAGACACTTTCTGTGATCCCTGAACAGACATCGCTGAGGAAACATTCTGACATAAACCCGCAAGAATGACTTTGCCAAATGCCTACCAGTTCCAAAGATGCTTACTTAAGTCTAGCAGGGGCGTCCCGCGTTTTATTTTGTTAGTTGGCCGTGATAGTTAGAATCGAACCCGACTTGCTTAATTTCATCTGCCGCACAACGCTCCACGGACAACCCTGTTAGTATTTTCGCTTGCATTTGTGTTTTTTATTGTTTTTTTTCTAATCGGTAACGCCCACGAACGAGTCCCCACCCACGTTCTCCCACGCAGGATTACTGCGCATGCGCTAGGGAAGGCCGTCAGCAAACACCTCCGTTACAAACAACAACTCTTTTGCGTCTCATTTTTTTTTTTTTTTTTTTTTTTTGGTAATTATGATCGGTAGATTTTTTTTTTCAGGCCGTGGGCAAGGAATAGAAAAAAGTATGTATCGAGATTTGCTTAAAGAGCCATTCCTAGCTTCTGAAAATTCGTTTGTGGGGAGCGGGAAGATATTCACAGACCGTGATTGACTTCACTGAGAATATTATATCAATCAAATGTATTTGCGTATAGATTAATCGATCTATCGATTAGCCTCTGTACTTATAGTTGGATCGTAAGCTTTCATCTCTTCACACGTAAAATATCGATGCACCCCCTTTTTATATCGATGTCAATTTTATTATCGTTTCTTTTCTTTCATCCCTCTTTCTTCATGCCTTTCTTTTTTTTCTTTTTCTATTTTCTTCCAGTTTTTTTTTCCATTTTCTCTTTCTTCGTCACTTTCTTTTGTTCTTTTTTTCTTATTTCTTCTTTTTCCAGCTTTTTTATTTTTCTTTCGTCCATTTTTTTTTCTAATTACTTTATTTCTTCAATTCGTTTATTTATATTTATATTTTCTTTGTTTTTTTCTTATTTCGTTACATTTTTCGTTCTCCCTTCATTTCTTTCTTTCTTTATTTATTTATTTATTTATTTATTCACCTTCCCAATTTTTTCATCATTCGTTGATTTTCGTGTCATTTTTAATATCGTTCTCTTCTTTCTTTATTTCTTTCTTCACCTTCCCAATTTTTCATCATTCGTTGGTTTTCGTGTCATTTTTTAACATCGTTCTTTCTTTCTTTCTTTCTTTCTTTCTTTCATTCTTTCTTTTTTTCTTCCTTCACCTTCCCAATATTTTCATTATTCCTTGATTTCCGTGTCATTTTTAATATCGCTCTCTTTTCTTTCTTTCTTTATTTCTTTATTTCTTTATTTCTTTCTTTCTTTCTTTCTTTCTTTCTTTCATTCTTTCTTTTTTTCTTTCTTCACCTTCCCAATATTTTCATTATTCCTTGGTTTCCGTGTCATTTTTAATATCGCTCTCTTTTCTTTTCTTTTCTTTTCTTTCTTTCTTTCTTTCTTTCTTTCTGTCTTTCTTTCTGTCTTTCTTTCTTTCTTTCTTTCATTCTTTCTTCACCTTCCCAATATTTTCATCATTCGTTGGTTTCCGTGTCAAAAATGACACGGAAACCAACAAATATTGCTATCTTTTCTTTTTCTTTCTTTCTTTCTTTCTTTCTTTCTTTCTTTCTTTATTTATTTTTTTTTATTTATTTATTCACCTTCCCAATTTTTCATCATTCGTTGGTTTCGTGTAATTTCTTTCTTTCTTTCTTTCTTTCTTTATTTATTTATTTACCTTCCCAATTTTTTCGCAATTCGTTGGTTTCCGTGTCATTTTTAATATCGTTTCTTTCTTTCTTTCTTTCTTTCTTTCTTTTTCTTGTTTTAATTCCTTTTTCTAGACTTTCTATTTGCATTTTGTCTTTCTTCCTTCTTTCCCCATTATTGTGTTCTTATTTTTTCCTTTTTTTTCTCTTTATTTTTATTTCCTTTATGTCAATCTTTTTTCTTTCTTCATTCTTTTTTTTCTTCATTCCTTTCTTTACTTTCTTCATTCATTTTTCATCCATTCCTTCTTGCATTCATAATTGTCTTTTTCTCATGTTCAGTCGGGCAAATGGAGATAATATGCTGTCTATGTAGTCCGCCACTAGCAGTGGTTTACCTATTCACGCCGCTGGCGAGTATTGTATGTTGTCGATGTTATAAAGATTACCATTTCATTTCCAACCCCCATTTTGGTTATTTCTCATTCAGTAACCTTTCCCTTTTATAATTCCTTTCTTCCATTTTTATCTTTTTTTCTCTATATATTTACTTCAAGTTTTTCTTTATTCATTCTTTTCTTTTCTTCGCTGATTTTTCTTTCATTCCTTTGTGGTTTTATCCCTTATTTTTTTCTGCTCCATTCTTTTTTCTTTTTACTTTTTCATCCTTCTCTCTTTCATAACTCTTTTCGTTCATTTTTTTTCGTTTTTGTTTTGATAATTTCTTCGTGTCTATTTTTTTCTTTTTTCCTTCTTCATTTTTTTTTATCTTCCTCTTTTACTTTCACTCTCCCCTTTTCCAGGTTTTATTCATTTTTCATTCTACTTTTTCTAATTCCTTCTTTCTTCATTCCTTTCTTTCATTTCTTTACCCTTTTTTTCTCTATATATTTTCCTCCAGTCTTTCTTTTTTCTTTCTTTCTTTATTTCTTTTCTTCCTTCATTTTTTCCATTCCTTCATATTTTTATACCGTGTTTTTTTCATTTTAATTCTTTTTCTTTCTATATTTTTTTCATTTTTCTTTCTTTCACAATTCCTTTCCTGTGTTCATTTACTTTTTCTCTTTAGATTTTCTGTCTCTCTCTTTTCTTCCTTCATTTATTTTTCTTTTTTCTTTCATTTTTCTTTCATTCCTACGTTTTTTTATTTTTTGTTTTTCCAGTGTAATTCTTTTTCTTTCTTCTTTTTCATTCTTTCATCTTTAATAATTCATTTCTTTCATTTTTTTTCTCCTTATATTTTCTTCGATTCTTCTTTCGTTCTTGTTTCTTTTTCTTTCTGTCTCAATTTTCCTTTCTTCTTCTTTTGCTCCCATTCTTTCCTTTTCCAGGTTTATTCTTTTTTCTTTCTACTTCTTCAGACTTCCTTTTGTCTTCATTTCTGTCATTCATTTTCCCCTTTTCTCTTTATTTATATTTTCTAGGTTTCTCATCTGTTCGCCTTTCTTTGATTTCTCTCTATCTTTTCATTCTTCTTTCTTTTCTTTTTCATTTTGCCTTCATTCTTTCTTTCAATTATTCTTCATTTTTTCTTCATTCT